AAAGATTTTAATTTCTTTCTTTCTTTCTTTCTTTCTTTCTCTCTCTCTCTCTCTCTCTCTCTCTCTCTCTCTCTCTCTCTCTCTTTCTTTCTTTCTTTCTTTTTTTTTTTTTTTTCCGAGACAGGGTTTCTCTGTGTAGCTTTGCGCCTTTCCTGGAACTGGCTTTGCAGACCAGGCTGGCCTCAAACTCACAGAGATCCGCCTGGCTCTGCCTCCCGAGTGCTGGGATTAAAGGTGTGCACCACCACTGCCAGGCTTTAATTTCCTTTTATGTATTTCAATTAACACCGATCAAAAAGAGTGAATTAGCAGCAGCAAGGGGTTCTGGGAAGGGTACAGGAGAGAAGACAAGTAGTTACAGGATGGAAGTAGGAAAGGCCTCTCCATAACTGCACACAGTAAAGAGTGTTCTGGTTGAGAAAAGTCTCTCACCTTCTGCTGATCAATTCTTTTTTTTTCCTAAACATTTAAAAAAAAAAAAAAACCACCAAGCTTCCACACAATTATTTAAACTAAAATCAAATGTTGTAAATACAGCTAATGCTATACTTTGATACTAAGTTAATGAAAAGAAAACTCATGGTCCCAAACATAAAACTAGTCTAAGATACCTACTGTACCCAGAGGAACTGATTAAATCTTCTCCCCAAAAGTACACCTAGATTTCCGACTATTGAATATTTTTCCAGATGTTTGTAAAATAAATTGAGCTACAGTCAATTGTGAATTGGCTATACTCTCACCACTGGCTTATAAAACGAGTAAGAATGATTATTTCTATATACAGTATAATCGGAAAACCAAGAGTCAGTTAAATCAGTGCCAAAGAAGCTAACTGTAAAGCATATGTAACTAATATATAACAATCAACGATCACTTCCAATTATGATAGAAAGTTTTAAGCTACCCATTTAAGCTGCTGAAGAACAAACTACTCATGGAAAAGTACTAAGGACCAGAAGCTCAAATCCAAGGGGGTGCGGCCACACGGCATGAGAAGGCAGCCATGTTCCCATGCAGGCACTGGCGGAACGTGGGAGTACAGCAAGGGGCTGAGAATCAAGCAGCCTATGCTGGTGCTAAGGAACTGAGAAAACTGGAAATGTAAAAGAAAGCGCAACAAAAGGAATGAGCGTATGGAAATACATTAACAAATACTTTATCCTGACAAAAATACATATATATTTAAGATAAATATGTATAACAATAACATGGAAAAGTTGAGTCAGGAGTAGTTGAAGTAATTATTTTATTAGGATATTGTAAATCAAAAGACTTGTAATTTTTAAGGTAAGCACTACAAGAATAGACAACAACAAAGTAACAGAAATGGAAAAAAGAATTAACACAGAAGGCAAGATGGTAGAGGAAAGCACAGTGTGAACAGAACCTCAAATAAAAACAATACGTTTACAATCACACATACACAAAAAGTGCCAGGTGTAGTGATAGAAGCCTAGAATTACAGCACGTGGGAGACTAAGGCAGAAAGATTAGTTCAAAGTCAGTTCAAGACATTGTCTCAAAAACAATGAACAAAATATTGAGTATAAGCCCACAACACATGCATAGTATTCGTTAACTGAAAATTAAAATGATGAGAGAAACTAAGATGATCCAAATATATGGAGATATAAATAGAGTGGCTTAAGCAACAGAATTTCACTATCTCTGGATCTGGAACCCTTAGTCTGAGATTAGGTGTTATGGGACCACATCTAACGGCACAGAGAACAACCTGTCCCAGAACTCTCGACTTCGGTAGTTTCTTCAGCGTGGCAGGGTCACTTCACTCAGCACTCTCCCACTCTACCGCACTGGCTGGCTTTGTTCGTCAACTTGACACAAGCTAGAGTCATCAGAGGAGCCTCAGTTAGGGAAAGGCCTCCATGAGATCCAGGTGTAAGGCATTTTTTTCAATTAATGTTCAATTTGGGAAGGCCCAGCCCATGGTGGGTGGTGTAATCCCTGGGCTGGTGGTCCTGGGTTCTGCAGGAAAGCAGGCTGAGCAAATCAGAGGAAGCAAGCCAATAAGCAGCATCCCTTCGTGGCCTCCACATCAGTTCCTGTCTCAAGGATCCTGTCCTGTTTTAAGTTCTGACTTTCCTGTTCTGACTTTCTTCAGTGATGAACAGCCATGTTGAAGTGTGAGCTGAATAAACCCTTTCCTCTCCAACTTGCTTTATGGTTATGATGTCTCGTCACAACAATAGAAACCCCAAGACTGATCATTTTCCTTGGAGGTGTGTCTTTCTCTATGCCCAAATTTCCCTTTTATCTAAGGGGACTAGTCATATCACATTAAGAGGCCCTGTACTTCAGTATTACTTCATCCTAATTACATCTGGAAGGATCCTATTTTTGTAGTCGCAATGTGAGGCACCAGGTTTAAGACTCCAACATAAGATGCATTTCAGGGAGACACAAACCCATAAGGTAACTAACTGTTCATGGACTAAAAGAGTTCGTGTAAAGATGCCAACTCTCCCCACAAATCATCACTAAAATTTAATGAAATATTTTTTTATGTATGAGGCTCTGGGTTTGATCTTCAGCTCACCAAATATTTACATACTTACAGACTTAGCATGACTTTTAGCAGCAAAAGCAAGATTTTTCTAAATCTTAAGACAAAGAGTATAGTAGTGTTTTAAACAAATGGCACTTCAATTAATGAATATTCATAAGCCAAAAAATTAGCCATGCCCTAATACAAAAATTACCTCAAAATTTATCATTGATTTCAATGTAAAACATAGAACAATGCAAAACACAATAAAAAGATAATGACAAAGCCTATGCACACTCTTATATACAGACAAGTTAGTACATATAAAAACTGGTAAAGGAGAAACCCTAACTAAGACACTAAGACAGAAGGTGGTACCAGGAACTAAGGTATTGCTGTTATAGGCCTGACCATGCTTTTGTTCAGAGGACTATGCACTTTGTGAGTTTGGATTAGAAAAGTAGTTGAATGTTTTAAGTGGAGCTTAATGGACCATCCTAGTAGGAACATGGAAGACAGTGGTGCTGAGGGTGTGTCTTAGCTAGAGTTTCTATTGCTGAGAAGAGACACCAGAACCACAGCAACTCTTATAAAGGAAAATATTTAACTGGTGCTGGTTTACAGTTTCAGATGTTTAGTCCATCATTATCATGCTGGGACACGGTGGCATGCAGGCAGAAATGGTGCTGGAGAAGGAGCTGAGAGTTCTACATTTTGATCCAAAGGTAGCAGAAGCAACTGTGTGCCACAATGAGCATAGCTTGAGCAAAGGAGATCTCAAAGCCCACCCTAAACTTCCTCCTACAAGGTCTAGGCATGGGGGTGCACACCTTTAATCCCAGTACCCAGAATGCAGAGGTTGGTGGATCTGAGTTTGAGGCCAGCCTGGTCTACAGAACAAATTCCAGAATAGCCAAGCTTAGGCAGTGAAGTAAACCATCGAAAACAGAAAGCTGGTGAAGATGTAATTGAACACAGGGACGATGTTCCAGCTCCAGCAAGCAGCAGAACTTGGCAGCTTGGCTTTAGAGTCAAGGTTAGAAGAAAGGGGTTATAGAATCTCCCTTCACGGCCGGGTGGTGGTGGCCACGCCTTTTATCCCAGCACTCGGGGAGGCAGTGCCAGGTGGATCTCTGTGAGTTCAAGGCCAGCCTGGTCTACAGAGTGAGTTCCAGGAAAAGGCGTGAAGCTACACAGAGAAACTCTGTCTCAAAAAACCAAAAAGAATCTCCCTTCACAACTAAGAAAAGCTGCTGAGGCCACGCATGTATCAGGGGTGTCCCTGAGGGGCCATTGTGTGAAGCTGTGAAGTTAAAGCCTGTATTGCTTTGGAGACCCCAAGATGTTGGAGATGCCAGAGTCATGGGATACCTACTGAGGAGAGCTGCTAACAGGGAGTGGAACCAGCCCAAGAAAAAGAAGTATGTTACAGTCAACAAAGACAAAAGGAGTTAGAAATCTGAAGAGCATTTTGACATCAGACAGAGAGATGCAGTTTGGAGTTTTCCCAGCTGGTTTTCGGCTTTGCTATGGCTCAGTATTTCTTCAATATCCTCCCTTTCCTACATTTTGGAAAGGTAATGTATATCCTGTGCCATTATATGTTTGAGTATGTGATCTGTTTTTTTATTTTGACTTTATAGGAGATTACAGTTAAGAGACCACAGGAATCTCAGAAGAGACTTTTTAACTTTGGACTTTTAACACTGTTGAGACTGTGATAGAGTGTGGGGACTTTTGAAGTTGGACTAAATGCATTTTGTATTATGTTACAATTTATAAGCCTATGGAGATCAGGGAATGGAATGTGGTGGTTTGGATAGAAATGGCCCCCATAGACTCATGTGTTTGAACGCTTGACCTATAGAGAGTGGCACTATTGGGAGGTGTGGCCTTGTTGGAGGAAGTGTGCTACTGTGGGGGTGGGCTTTGGGGTCTCCTATGTTCAAGCTATGCCCAGTGTGGGA